AGGGATTGAAGCTTGGGGGGGGGGGGGGGGTGTTCCTGGGAATGGTCCGAATTCTCGAAGAATGGAGACCTCTGGAGACCGTCGGAGCCTCTCCACGCCGATATCACCGCGTGATCTGTGACCAGCGCGAGAGTCCCAGTGTGACACCCCGCGTTCGGGATTTGTCGCGTAACGCGTTCTGGCCTGCGAGCCCCGCGACATCGCTCGCTTGCTCGCTATTCCTCGCCCAGCATTTCTTGCTACCTGTATTCCGTGCGCTGCTTAGACGCGATGAAGAGAGGCCCCAAGGCCATCCCAAACCTCGCGACTTCTCGACCGCCAGCAGCGGTTCAGGTGCTGCCGTTCGACGCATCGACCTCGCACGCGAGACTCTGCGCCCAATGTTTCCGTCTCTTGCCCGCAAAGACGTCGTCCAGGAAGTGCGAGCCTTGTCGCGGGAAGGACCCGGACACTCTGAGCAGGTGGAAGAAGGAGCGCGCGCGCGAGCGTGCTGCCCAGGCGAGCATGGAGGGCACGTTCACCGTGGAATTGGCGTCCGAGGGCAAGACGGAGGCACCCCCCTTACGTCCGAGTGCCGACACGGTAGAGATGGCGGACGCGGCGCGTGGCACGGGCGCGCCGTCGTCGGGTGCGACGAAGAGGAAGGCGGACGCGCTCGACGCAAAGTCCGAAGCTTCGCGCGGCGCTGGTCTTTTTGCGCACAAGGAGTACCAGACAAGCCAAGAGCTCATGGACGCGCTTTCGCGGGACGTGGAGGCGTCCCGCCCGTCGCAGGCCGCGGCGCCGTCTCGCCCGCCCTACGTCAACTTCCGCGGCTCGTTCACGATCGTCATGGATCCCGACGTCCAGGGAAGGCCGCGCGTCAAGCAGGTCGTCGAGGCGCTCGCGCAGTCGGCGAAGCTGCGTTTCGGGTAGGTACATGCGGGCTCCCCGACGAAGCGAACCGAACTGAATGTATGCGCGGACATGCAGGAAGCTCGTCAAGTGCGAGAGCGACGTGTCGCGCGGCGGCCACGCGCGCACGTACTGGTGCTGCTGCAGCCCCGAGCCGGAGCCCCCGAAGCGGTCTGCGCCCCCCGCTCCGCTTAGCCAGCCCACGACCCTCGCTGCAGGCCCGCAATCGTCCCCATCCCCGTCTCAGACGCGCACGCCCCCGAAACGCACGCAGAGCACGCTCATAGGCTGGCTGGGGAAGCCGACACCGAAGGAAGAGGTGACAGATGCCGCCAACGCGCCGCCACCTGGGTGTGGTGGAACCATCACCGTGTATGCTGTCACAGATTTCTCCCATCCGCTCGGTAGGGTGGGGATCAGGGGACAGAAGGTCAGCGTGCATGTCGAACATCCTGGACGGGACTTGGACCAGGTGCTCGCATAGTAGAGTGAAGTACTCGCCGTGCTGGACTGCGTTGTTTTAATTGGTACAACGACTTGTCATATCGCTCATTTATACCCTCCTATAATCGTACATGTAGCTTGATCTAATGTATATAATTAGATTTCTTCAGCTCCTACGGTATTTCCCTCAACGTATTGCGCAGTGGGCTACTCGCGCACCTGGTCACCGTGGCCAACGACATGGATGATGAGTATGAGTATCATGCCCCCCCCGCCCGGATCAACTATAGCTGGGAGAGCTACGCCTTAGAGGATGAAAACGAGCCTTCGCTATGCAGAGACACCGGAGTGAAGGCTGCTGATGTGATAATTCATGCTGGACCTTACCAGCAAGCTGTAACATCAAGGTTATCGCGATCTCCGGCCTCAACCTAGACGGTTCTTGGGGCGACCAGGGAGGATGGTGAAGGACCAACCTACAAGAGAGAAAAAACTGAAAAGTAATGTCTCAAACCTATTTTGCCAGCGTAATGCAGTGATCATACAGGGAATATCGCATGTATCTGCATACACCACCATCCCGGGAAGACAATTACAGTCATGCTGACGCTGTGGCCAGCGGTGGCACAATGAACTTGACCGCGAGCTCGTCGAACAACGCCTCCTTCTGCTGATAGTCGGTCACGAGAGGATGGTTCGGGAACTCCGCCGACAATTTGCTACAAGTACGACGAGACCGTCAGCTGCCACGTCCTTCCACGTATGTCCCACGCCGGTACGCGGCACTCACCTGAACAGCTCATCCGCATCTACGGTCTTCGCGGCGCCCACGCCCGTCGCGACAGTCTGCGCCGCAAGAGTCTCCGCGTCTGGCTTCCCGCCCAACTGGCTGACGGCCTCCTCGAGATCGCTCTTCGCCGCGCCCACTTCGCCGCGGAGCAGACGCACGACGCCGCGCGCGGTGAGGAGGTGTGTGGACGTCAGGGAGGGGTTCGCGAGCTGCTCGGTGTAGAAGGAGTGCGCGTCGGCGTAGCCGTCCTTGCCTGTTACGAGCCCGATGGAGGCCTCGATGAGCTGCAGGAGGAGGTCGTCCTCTGCCCAGCGCTTGGCACGCTCGAACTCTTTGCGGGCGAGGTCGGGGCGGGAGATGGAGAGGTAGATTTGGACGGCGTATGCGACGCTGGGCATGCGTGTCAGTATAAAGATTGAGGATGGTTGAATGTCATACGAAGTATCATAGGACACGGATGTTGCCTCAGCAGGCAACAAGAACAGAGATTCGGAGGTGCACACTGGCACGTACGAGATCCACATTCTTGGTGCTTGAATCCCAGCGAACGGAACAGGGACGCGGGACGCAGCATAAGATGTGCACTCACGCTTCGAGGTTCTGCGTGTCATTTCCCGCACCCAACGTCTCCAACGCTTCCTCAATCTCGCCCGCCCGCGCGAATGCCGTGCCCGCCAGCACACGAACGACGCCCTTCTCCCATGCGCTCGCCTCCGTGTCTTCGCCCTCGATCTCTACGCTCAGGTCGCGCAGCTCCTCTAGCACGACCTCGCGTGCGTCGTCTGCATCCGCCCCGATGTACCGCGCGAGCGCAGCGACGCTCTTTAGCGCGAGGTTCTCGGTGTCAGCGGGAACAAGTGCCTCAGCTGCGGATGGCAACCCTAGGGCGATGTGTGCGCGGGCCTTGTAGACGAGGGTGGGGGTGTAGTCTGTGGAGGAGGGGTCGGGTAGGGTCAAGTCGACGAGTGACTTGTAAGCCCCTGGATTTGAGGTGAGGTGTCAGGTCCGGACAGAGACATTGGTAGCAGATCAGACAGACCCAGAGTGAACTGCTGTTTGATGTGGTAGAGTTCTGAGGATTCCATAGTGTTGAACGGAGGAGGTTTTACCGATGAAGGGGGTTTAGAGAGAATATGCAGACTCGGAGTGGAAGAGCGGGGACCAGCGGGAAACTGTGCGATTAGCGCACATGGGCATAGGACCGTCACGGCATTCGCTATTCGCATCCTTCATTCCAAATCATGTCCTGTTCGCTGTTGTCGGTTCTCGTTTTCTAAACTGGCCATATCTATGTTCGTTTGCCTGTGCGACACAGGTGGTGACCAGTACTAGTCGAACAACGGACTACATATACTTAAGTGCATTGCTTAGAGTTTCCAAAATGGGCTAACCGGCGTTCTCGTTTCTCACGATACATAACTGATTGTATGAACCACCGAGTCATCGTCCTTTAGTCGTTCAGCAATCAGCAACTATCTCTTGTGTCCTTCACTTACCACCGGGACACTTCACGCAAATGGGTTTCAGTACAAAGCCCTCCATCAAGCGCACGCAGCCTTCGTGAGTATCTCTATATACATAGAACTGCAGTCGCCCACCAGGTGGACCTCCGATCATCCGGAACTCCCCTGCCATCGTACCACCCTCGGACGCCCATGATGTCTGTGAAGCTACAGTTTTGACGTTCTATCTCTGGCCTGTAGTGCTGTCTTCGGACCTATTCACGGCGTGCCTGTGGGGTCAACCTTCGAGAACCGGTAAGCTCCTGCGGCACTGCGGTAATGATTACGCCGCCGATCATGCGCTCATCTGACTGCTATGTATATAGTTTATTCCTTCACCATTCCTCTGTGCATTCCGGCATCCTCGCGGGTATCTCAGGAAGCAAAGACGCAGGGTGCTACAGCGTAGTGCTATCCGGAGGTTACGAAGATGACAAAGATGAAGGGTACCGCTTGTGAGTCCTCTTTTCGGCCACTTATCTACTTCAGCCAATCAAACGCTCTCCATAAAGTACGTATACTGGTTGCGGAGGTCGCGACAAGAAGAACGGCGAAAAGGTACGTCGCTTGGCCCTCGTTAGACCAACCTCCACTTCATGTTTGCCCGCAACTAGCCAAGAGATGGGCCGCAGACTTGCGACCAATCTTGGAAAAACTCCCGCAACGCTTCGCTCCTCGTATCTGCGCGCACCAAGAAGCCTGTCCGTGTCGTAAGGGGATACAAGTCGAGCTCCGACTGGGCGCCTGCCCAAGGCTATCGCTACGACGGATTGTACCAGGTGGACGAGGTATGTCCTCGCATCTCATCCTTCCATATTTGCGTCTCGAACCAACGCGAACATCGATCGCAGGCATGGATGGACACCGGCAAGAGCGGGTTTCAGGTGTGCAAGTTCAGGCTTAGTGTATGTCCCCTCCGAGCATTCCAAGCATCATCGTCCTAAAGAGCTGAGCACAGCGTCTACCCGACCAACCACCTATCCCTCGCCGACAAGGCACTCTGAACCTTGATCTCTCGCAATGGGAGAGGCCGCGACATTTCGGTGGTGACTCTATCCCATCGGATGACGAGTCCCCAGGCCCCGCTGCTCCGAGGTTACCGAAGCAAAAGATCCATAGCGCTAAGGGGAAGAAGAGAGCCGATGCCGACGACGACGGTGATGCTGGTCCGTCTAATACAGCTGCGCCCGTTAAGAGGCTGCCTGCGAAGCCTGCCGCGCCCCTGGCTTCACCGATACCTCCAACCACCAATATGGCTGGGGCTAGGCGTTTTGCTGCCCAACCACAGACATCAACAAGCGCCCCAGATGTGGACATCAACAATCTTCTTGCGGAGATGCGTGGAGGTACCTCGAAGTCCTCAGTCCCAATGCCTCCTCAGGCATTGGCCTCTGCGAGGACGGACTCGCTACCTAAAGGGAGCAAGCCAAGTGAGGCTGGCCCATCGCGTCCTGTGCTTCCGAATGCTCGCGACCAGCAAGCAAGCGTGCCCACGAAACGGCCTACCCCTAGCACGGCGCCTGTCGCCAACGGTGAACCCACCGTGTCCCTGATTCCGAATGCATCTCCCAATCGCCGCAAACGATCTTGGGACGGCGATGTTCATGGATTGGATGATCACAAACGAGCGAAAGTCGACTTACCGACTTCCGCCGGTGCGAAGGTGGTTCAAGGCTCGCCTAAGCGGGCCTGTCCGAGCTCAGAGCGATAGCCAATATCGCCTCTGAATGGGGGAAAGATCTGGGGATGAAGTGCTTGAGTTATGGACCGCGTATAGGGTGTGGATTTAGTATACAGTGCTTGCTACTCTGGTTGTACGTGAATATCTCGTCATCGTTTGTTGTGCGTCTCGATTATGTTGCTATTCCCATATGCTTGCTTGTTCATTTGTACTCATAGTTAGTTTGTCTAGTCATTGTTCATGCTACTGTAAAATTGTATGATATGTGTCACTGCATGTTTGTTTCAAGCCATGTACAATGTATGTATTCTGCACTGTGCACCATCCAAACCGATAGTGCGGTGAGAGTGAGATGATCAAATGTGCGCAAGTTAAATTCTCTGAGTTTGGAGGACAGGTGATGGCCCGAGGACCACGCAGAACATAGTGATTGGGCGGAGCGGCTCAAGTACTTATCGGGAAAGAGCTCCGACCGGAGGCTGCTCAACCCCAGTGAAAACCCCGCCTATTGCCAAAGATTGCTGGCTATTGCCGTCTGATGCCGTCTTTTCGGAGCGATTTGGATGACAGCTCGGCGTCTGAAATGGCTCGTTTCATACATCGATTGGCTCGTTTTATATATACAATGGGCCGTTCTATATGTACAATGGGCCGTTTGACGTCGATCGATAGTATTAAACCGGTGTCCGATGTATATATACTGTTCCATCCACATCTATTACATATATGCCTCCCTGTGTGCCGACCGACGGTTATCCTACCATATCCATTCTTACGATCTCGTCCCCAGCTCCTTCGTCCATGACGCCATCGGTGTTCGCAATGCTCTATATATAGTGGGCGAAAGCCGTCCTCCCATCTCTGCGCCCTTTCTTCCCTCCTTTCACCATCCCTTTCTGTCCTCGGTACTCTCATTCACCGTGAGCCTCGCTAACAGGTAGGGTATCGCTGTCTGTACACGTCAACACAGGTGAGTGGGTTACTCGCTGTCACACAGCATACAGGTAAGTCGTGCGGGTGCAGCAACGCAGTAGGTTAGAGCACGTC